CTATCTATCTATCTATCTATCTATCTATCTATCTATCTATCTATCTATCTATCTATCTATCTATCTATCTATCTATCTATCTATCTATCTATCTATCTATCTATCTATCTATCTATCTATCTATCTATCTATCTATCTATCTATCTATCTATCTATCTATCTATCTATCTATCTATCTATCTATCTATCTATCTATCTATCTATCTATCTATCTATCTATCTATCTATCTATCTATCTATCTATCTATCTATCTATCTATCTATCTATCTATCTATCTATCTATCTATCTATCTATCTATCTATCTATCTATCTATCTATCTATCTATCTATCTATCTATCTATCTATCTATCTATCTATCTATCTATCTATCTATCTATCTATCTATCTATCTATCTATCTATCTATCTATCTATCTATCTATCTATCTATCTATCTATCTATCTATCTATCTATCTATCTATCTATCTATCTATCTATCTATCTATCTATCTATCTATCTATCTATCTATCTATCTATCTATCTATCTATCTATCTATCTATCTATCTATCTATCTATCTATCTATCTATCTATCTATCTATCTATCTATCTATCTATCTATCTATCTATCTATCTATCTATCTATCTATCTATCTATCTATCTATCTATCTATCTATCTATCTATCTATCTATCTATCTATCTATCTATCTATCTATCTATCTATCTATCTATCTATCTATCTATCTATCTATCTATCTATCTATCTATCTATCTATCTATCTATCTATCTATCTATCTATCTATCTATCTATCTATCTATCTATCTATCTATCTATCTATCTATCTATCTATCTATCTATCTATCTATCTATCTATCTATCTATCTATCTATCTATCTATCTATCTATCTATCTATCTATCTATCTATCTATCTATCTATCTATCTATCTATCTATCTATCTATCTATCTATCTATCTATCTATCTATCTATCTATCTATCTATCTATCTATCTATCTATCTATCTATCTATCTATCTATCTATCTATCTATCTATCTATCTATCTATCTATCTATCTATCTATCTATCTATCTATCTATCTATCTATCTATCTATCTATCTATCTATCTATCTATCTATCTATCTATCTATCTATCTATCTATCTATCTATCTATTCTCCGCCCAAAAGAACAACAAGGTAAGCATGACTATTTCAGCTTATATGAACTGAGGCTCCGATTATTACACTGAAAGTTCATTCATATGAATGAACTTTCAGTCTTATCATATCCTGTTTCCTTTCCCTTCCCCACCTATAAAACTTTAAACTGCATTTCAACTTTCCTTTTGCCCCTGTTACCCATGGACACTAAATACCATTCTCCATTATTTCCTTTACTCTTATTATGTTCTCTTGAATGTAAGGTCGCCCCCCGCACGTCCAGTAAGGTGACGCAGCCCCTGTCGAAGCTCCACAAAGCCTACAAAAATGACGAGAAACTTGTGTCTGACATCAACGCCGCACAGAACTCTTGGCGCGCTAAGGCTTACCCAGAGCACGAGAAGTAAGTCATTTTTTGTTTTGACAAAAGTATGATTACGTAAGGAAAATAAAACAATTTGCTTGGACTTCTCTTCTTGTGTGAAATATTCTTCAATAGGAGTATACACTAAAGATGATGAGAAAAGTATTTTTTTTTCTTAATTTCATTCTTTAATCCGAAGGGAAGTGACTGCATTCTGACCAGTGTTGCCAAACTAGACCGCAAAAAGCAAAGAACTTATAAAAGCATTCATAAACTGGTTCGTGCAACATTAGGGTAACGCCTCTGTTTGAAACCTGTTAATTCAGTGAAGGAGAAGAAGACACCTCAGACTATTATGGAGTTGTGTCAATGCACTTCACGGACATTGCTTTTTGTGAGAGGTTTACAGAAAAAAGTATCAGATGAGATTCAACAAAATATGATGTTTGTTTGATATATGTTTCATGGAAATATCGTTTACTCTGTGTCAGTTTGATGAAGGTACGCTGTTGATTTAATGCGAATTTGATTTAATTATTATTGATTACATGTAAATCTAATGAAATACTGCTTATCTGATGTGAATCCGATCAAAATATGCTTGACTTAATGCAATTTTGATACTGCTGATACCAGCTATAAGACAAAGGTATTATTCAACCCATTTGATTTTATGCACGGCAAAAATCACTAGGATTTTGCTGTAACAAATCAAGTAGTTGTTGAAGTTTATAAAATTAGGTTGCTCTGATACACACTCAGATTTTCTTCCTTGGGATTTTTGCAGTGACAGCATCATCTGTTTATCCTTTTTTCTATCTATCTATCTATCTACTTATTTGTCTATCTACTTACTAATCTATCTATCTGTTTATCTATGTATCTATTTATCTATCTATCTATATAATTATTTATCAGTCATTCCATCAACCTAACAAGCCACTCGCTGCCCACAGATTCAGCCGCTACCAAATGTTCCTCCGCGCGGGAGGCCCTGGCGCTGTCGTCTCCAACCCCCCCTCCCCCGCCCCCGCGACCCCCGAGCAGAAGGCCCGCGTCTCCTTCCTGCCGGAGAACTTCGACTGGCGTAACGTGGAGGGTGTGAACTACGTGAGCGACGTCAGGGACCAGGGAGGATGCGGCTCCTGCTACACCTTCGCCTCCGTGGGCCAGATCGAGACCCGCCTGAGGATCGCCACCCGCAACCAGCGCCAGGACGTCTTCTCCACGCAGGTGACGACGCGCTTCTGTGGGCCTGGGGCGAACGTTCCCTGGGGTGGTTGGGCGGCGGAGAGCAGGGAGAGGACGTGGATTTATTTTATCCATTTATTTATTTATTTTATATTCATAGGAGGGGCTAACAGTTCTCTAGTCTGGCTGGGCAGTCAGTTGATTGTAACTCGAGATTTTTTTTTTATGTGAGATGTTATGTAACTGGAATTTTGTTTTACTTGGAGTGAAATAATCTTGTGCTTGTTTTATTGCGTAGTTATTTACAGTGATAGAAAATGGATTTAACTGGAACATGAATTTGACCCAAGACATCGGAACTGAGTAACATGTTTAATAATAAGTTATATTGTGCGTAAAGTAACATTGCCTTAAGTCTTTTGGTTGAATACAAAATCTCTAAAATTTGAGAATTACGGACACATTTTTTAAAGGATGAAGTGCAAACTCGAAATCCATATCGCTGTCGTTGTAGACAGTTATATACACAGATAAAGCTGTATATATCAAATCGTTTGCTTTTGGAAATAGCCATAACTAATTTCTATCACTGATATCTAAAACTCATCAGTATTTTCAACCAAACGTCATTTATTCTTCCATACCGCTCGTTATTATCCTTTATCCATTTCCTTATAGACAACCTTCCTCCTTATTCTTACCATTATTTCCATTCAAACACAACCACACCTTATCCCCCCAAACATGACCGGCCTCGCTCCTTCCCTCCCGCACAGGATGTCGTCTCCTGCTCGTCCCTCTCCCAAGGATGTCTCGGAGGCTTCAACTACCTGATCGCCGGACGCTACGCCATGGACCAGGGTGTCGTGGCCGAGGAGTGCAACCCTTATACTGGAAGTGTGAGTTGAGGAGGGAGGATAAGGGAGGGAGGATGAGGGGGAGGGATAAAGTGGGAGGGGGAGGGAAGGGAGATAAGGGAGTGACGATAAGGAGGGGGGATAAGGGAGGGAAGCAATGTGGGAGGGGGAGGGAGGGAAGTAGGGAAGGGGAGGAAGGAAGGAGGGAGAGGGGGATAGAGGGAGGGAGGAAAGGTGGGAGGGTGAGGAAGGGAGAAAAGATGGGAGGGTAAAGGAGGGGGACAAAGTGGGAGGAAGGAGGGATGAGGATAAAGTGAGAAGATGAAGGGAGGAAGGAAGTGACAATAGGAGGGAGGAAAGGGAGGAAAGGTGGGAGGATGAGGGAGGGAGGATAAGCGAGGGGGACAATGTGGGAGTGGAAGGGAGGGAAGAAAAGAAGGTGGGAGGATGAGGGAGAGGGAAAGGGAGAAGGGGGAGGGAGGAAAAGTGGGAGGGTCAGGAAGGTAGGAAAGGTGGGAGGGTAAGGGAGGGGGAGATAGTGGGAGGAAAGAAGAAGTTAGATAAGGTGGGAAGGAGAAGGGAAGAAGGGAGTGACGATGAGAGGAAGGAATGGAAGAAGGGCAGAGAGTAAAGGTTGGAGGATGAGGGAGGAGGATAAAGTGGAATAGAGGAGGGAGGAAGGGAGGGAGAAAGAGACAGGTAAGGTGGGAAAGGGTGGAGGGGAGAGAAAGAGAGGATGAGGGTGGGAAGGGGCAGGGGGTGGGGAAAGGGAGGGAGGGAGGGAGGGGAATAGCAAAAAGTGAGAGAAGAATTGCTATATATGTAGGGAGTATGAGTGAAGATGTTTAGGAGAGAGAGAGAGAGAGAGAGAGAGAGAGAGAGAGAGAGAGAGAGAGAGAGATGAAAGGAGAGAAACGAAAGAGAAATTAGATATATTTGTATACCCACATTGCCAAAAAACAACATAGACAAACAATCAAATATACAGATGCACGGATAAATAAAGATACATGACCAAACATACAGATATACCACCACACAGGCAGACACAACCCACACACACATACAAACACCCAGGCAAATCAAACAGAGAAAACTAACGACACCAATCCCTCCTCCTCCCCCCGACCCTCCCCAGGACGACGCCTGCGCCACCGACTCCACCTGCGCCCGCACCTTCGTCAGCGACTACTCTTACCTGGGCGGCTACTACGGCGCATGCAACGAGGAACTCATGTTGCAAGCGCTTGTGGAGAACGGGCCCCTGTCAGTGTCCTACATGGTCTACGATGACTTCTACAACTACGACGGCGGCATCTACCACCACACGGGTTTCAAGAACGACTTCAATCCGTTCGAGGTGAGGGTTGTTGTTATTTCGTGAGGGATATATTCATAATTTCGTGAATATTATTATCCTTTCGTCGTGAATATTATTATAATTTCGTCGTGAATATTTTTATAATTTCGTCGTGAATATTTTTATAATTTCGTCGTAAATATTATTATCATTTCGTTGTGAATATTATGATTGTTAATGCAGTGTCATGATTATTGTTCTTATTTCGTGATTATTTTTATCATTTCGTGAATATTATTATAAATCTTGATTATTATCATAATATCATGAATATTACTATGATTTCGTAAGAGTTATTATCGTTTGTGATCATTAATATAATTTCGTGATTATTATGATTATGATTTCTAGAATATCGTTATTATCCATGGTAACTAGTATCGTTTCGTGAATATTATCATAATTTCATGGTTATCATTGAAGTTTATTGCTATTTTCTGAATACTGACCCCGGAGTCTGTTAAAGAATTCTGATTTTGTTTTCTTTACCATTCGTCGAAAAAAATATGCTGATGATTTTTTTTTTTTTTTTTTTTTTTTGGGGGGGGGGCATTTGTTTATTGTACAAGACACCTAGGATATCATTCAGTGCACAAGATGCTGTTTCTACCCGTGAGTAAAACAAAACAAATAAAAGCAGTATAGTTAGTTATGCGCATTTGAAAAAAAAATGAAAACGAAAAAAAAAACGAAAAAAAAGGCTAAAAAGTGAAGGAATCCCGGTTTTCGAGTCAGCAACGTTTGAGCGGCTTTAAGCTCCGACGACAGAGGGATGTGACGTAACCATCTCTCTCTCTTCCACTTTCGTTTGGTTTTCGGTGTTTTTTGGTCCTTGTTTGTCTTTCACTGCGATAATATTGACATTCGTATTTTTATTTATTTATTCTGAAGCATCTTATTGATTCTATGTATAGATATATTTGTAAGTGTTCGTTAATATATATATTTTTTAATTACGCAAAAAAAAAGTTTCGTCTAACATGGAGGGGGGGAGGGGATAGGTTGAAGGTCAGTTTAAGATTCACGATCGGTCAAAGATCAAGGCCAATGAATAAGGCCCAAATTAGCAGTGTTATTATTGTAACAACCTTAAATCTCGTAACAAATCGGGGATCAGGCTAAACAGCTGGACATCCAATTCATATTCGCTCTTTTTTTTCTCGTTCCAACAATAATTCAAGCAGTTCTCACATGACATAGATCAAAGTCAGTCACCAAAGGGGGAGGTAGAGCAACGCATCAATAATAATAATGCTGATGTTAATAAAAATCTGCCAGGGGCCCAGAACTCAGAGGACGCGGTTGAACATCTCATCACTAATTCCGGGCAAGTCTTGTTCGAAGGGAAACTCGGATTCAGACAGTGGTGTGAACTTTGAGAAAACAACCATCACTATATAATAAGGATAGTGATAATGATAGTGATGATATAATAATAATAATAATAACATTAATAATTATAATAATAATAATAATAATTATGATATTAATAATAGTGATAATAATAATAACAACAACAACAATAATAATAATGATAATAATAATAATAATAATAATAATAATAATAATAATAATAATAATAATAATAATAATAATAATGATAATAGTGATAATGATGCTAATGCTAATGATAATATTAATAATCATAATGATAATAGTATTGATAATAGTAATACTGATAATAATGGTGATTCATACAACTACTAATGATAATGATAACAATAATAATAATGATACTGCTACTACTACTACTACTAGTAGTAATAATAATGATGATAATAATAAATAAAATATATATATTGATAAAAGCATAACAGCGCCGCGTGTTACATTTCAAATGGCACCATATGTTACTTGCAATTCGAAAACTAATACAACCGGTTCCAGTGATTAAAGCAATCTATCATGCAAGTCTAATATAATTTACACGTCAAGATGATAAAACAGAAAACCCAACAGGATTTCCAACATTGTCCATGTTTGCTTAACCTTTGACCTCTGTTGCAAATTTGTCATCTGCAAGCCAAGTCACTCGAATCTGCTGGCGGGTCATGACGCTTGCAGTACTAAGAGAGAGGAGAGCAATGTCCTATGATTGATTGTTACAGCCTATGATTAGCCTCTTGCCTTTATATCAGTGTGATATTTAGATGGTTCTGTTCTGCTGGTAGGTTATGGGTGCACCACTACAGGAGCGCGGTACCATAGCACATGACTATTCTAGCGTATGATTTATTTGTAAACTTTATTTTCAATGTTTTGTTTAAATGGTAAGTCACATTTTTCTCCTGGAAGGCTATGGTGAGAGAATGGAATTATCACGGCCTGTGGTTATTCAGATGAATTGCTCATCCTTTGATTTTTATTTACAACAACCTATTAGATGGTCATCTTATTTTTAGTGTCTCTGTTTTTAATGTCTTATCTAAATGGCAACCTTAGTTTAATGTCTTTTTTTAAATGGCAACCTTAGTTCAATGTCTTTTTTTAAATGACAACCTTAGTTCAATGTCTTTTCATAAATGGCAACCTCAGTTCAATGTCTCTTTTTAAATGGCAAACATTATTCTAAGTGTCTTAT